GTTGTAAATGTATTCTTCGTAGCTGAATTTGAATTCCCTGTCGTTATTTGGAGATATGAGTGAAAAGCCTTGTACCAATTATAGACGAAATCGGTCGTTCGAATCCCTTGATATGTAATTTTATCTTAAAGGTGGCGATGCCACACCCATCGTCTAATTTTTACCTGGCTTCCTGAAAGCTCTCTCATACCATATCTGTTTCAAAACTTTATGTCTCTGTCGTATTTAGTTGTTGATTTGCCGAACTTTTAATAGTTTTTAAAAGTATACTCTGTTCTCTGCATGTTGCAAGAGAATAAAAATATTATTTAATGATTTATTGGTGTAAATATACTAGCCGATAAGAGGAAAAACCAGTTAAGTAAACATAAATCTACTCAGCTGGAATATCAATCACCATAAGCCTTAAATCCAGCAACTAATGTATGCATAGATTTATAAAATATTTAGTCACATATCTAGAAACATATGTACATACATATATCCATTTATGCTTAAGCACACGTGTGTAAGTGTGTGTTCGTATTTCAAAGCGCAAATATGGATATATAATCAATATGGCTGGCCACTGTCTGCCGTTTGAATCAACTAAATTTCACTTCGCTTGAAAATCAACTCTGATATATGTATACATACATCTATGTAAGGATGTATGGGTATATTTGTATACATAAAGTTAGGTTTGCAGTTCAAATGGTTGTGGGCGTGGAAGTTCTGCCCTAAACTTCTCACTAAACACAGGCATTACTTTTTTTTCTAATAGTTAATTTATATTAAATGAAATTTGTTAAAGTCTCCAACTCATATTTCATGTTGATGACACTTATATCGATTAGCCGAAAAATCGATRAGACTTGTTAGTGTGGCTTATTTTTAGCGCAGATAATAGTGTGGCAGGTGTTTTGGCGCATCGCTAAAGTGTGTCGTTTAGTTGAGTGTGAGAGGTGTTTAGAAAGGTGATACTAGACACACTTTAGTAACTACTATTATACTAGAGTAGGAATTTGTAGGTTATTATATATACTTGCATTTAGCTATTTTTTAAAATTTTATTATTTTGCAACAATTATAWTTTGATTTGGAGGATGGAGTGATGTGTAGAAGTTCACTCAAGTGAGGAAAGTTCTCTGATCGCCATTCACTTGGGAGTGGCCAGAAACGATTCTTGCACATATGACGCAAGCAGCTCACGACTTCCGGTCTTTGGCCAAGTATCCTTTGGGTAGCCTAAGAACATCCGTTTGAAGGCGAGCTAAAGTGAGAAGGCGAAATATCCCCTACATAGGGTTGTGCGCTGGGTTTGGGACCCGCCACGTAAAAAACACCCCCAATGAAAGGAAACAAACAGCCTCGGATGAGAGACCCCCCTTTTGATGACGACCATGGCAAACGAATTAAGGACTACGATTTGAGGGCATGCACCTGGAATGTCCGGTTCCTTAATTGGGAAAGTGCCGCTGTCCCGCTGGTTGATGTCCTCGTGAAAATAAAGGCTGACGTCATCGCCGTCCAAGGAATGCGATGAACGGGACAAGGACAGAGATGAGTAGGTCCTTGTGGCATTTACTACAGTGGCCATATAAAGGAGCGCAAGTTTGGTGTGGGATTCGTGGTGGGAGAGAGTCTCCGTCGCCGAGTACTATCATTCACCCCGGTGAATGAACGTCTAGCCACAATCCGCATCAAAGCGAAGATCTTCAACATACCGCTGATTTGCTCCCACGACCGGACGGAAGAGAAGGACGATGTGACCAAAGATGAATTTTCTGAGCGCTTGGAACGCACTGTGAGCTGCCCCCGTCACGATGTCAAAATCGTGCTTGGCGACTTTAACGCCAGGGTGGGCAAAGAAGGTATCTTTGGCACTACGCTCGGTAAATTCAGCCTTCACGAGGAAACATCCCCAAATGGGTTGAGGCTGATCGACTTCGCCCGGGCCCGAAATATGGTTATCTGTAGTACTAGATTCCAGCATAAAAAGATACATGAAGCTACCTGGCTGCGGTTCCGGATCGAAAAACCACTAACCAGTTCGATCATGTTGTGATAGACGGTAGACGCGTCTCCAGTGTTTTAGATGTGCGTGCGGTCCGAGGTCCTAACACCGACTCGGACCACTATCTTGTTGTAGCCAAGATTCGCACCCTCCTCTGTGCAGCAAAAAACGCACGCCATCAAACACAGGGAAGGTTCGACGTTGAGAAGCTGCAATCACAACAGACAGCCGAACGATTTTCTACTCGGCTTGCACTCCTGCTCTCTGAGAGCACTCGTCAACAACTCATTATAAGGGAACTGTGGGACGGCATTTCAAACTCCGTACGTACAGATTACGATCGACCACAACACGTGCGGRATGGGGTAGATACCGACAGTTGAAGAGGGAAACGAGACGCTTTTTCAGACAGAAAAAGAAAGAGGCCGGAATGCGTGAGTACGAAGAGCTTGATAAGCTGGCCGACAGGGGTAATGCTCGAAAATTCTACGTAAAAATGCGGCGGCCTACAGAAGGTTTCAAGACCGTAGCATACTCGCGTAGAAACCCCAAAGGTGATATAGTCGTCGATGCCCAGAACATACCTAAATTATGGAGGAAACACTTCTCCAGCCTGCTGAATGACTGTGAACGCACAACGCCAGGAGAAGACGAACCAGATTCCCGAATCGATGACGATGGAGCAGACGTTCCATTGCCCGACCATGAAGAAGTTCAAATAGCAATTACACGCCTGAAGAACAACAAAGCGGCGGGGGCCGATGGTTCGCCGGCCGAGCTATTCAAACACCGCGACGAAGAACTGATGAGGAGAATGCTCAGCTTCTTTGTAAAATATGGTCGGACGAAAGCATGCCCAACGATTGAAATTTAAGTGTGCTATGCCCAATCCTCAAAAAAGGAGACCCCACAATCTGCGCCAACTACCGTGGGATAAGCGTCCCCAACATTGCAT